GAGAGAGAGAGAGAGAGAGAGAGAGAGAGAGTTAATGAGTTCTTGGTTATTTAGTGCCAACCACAGGAGCTCCACACCAGAGAGAGGATCAATAGGAGATGCCTACCAATAGGATTCCCTGGGGTGGATTGATTTTTGGTGTGAAGTGATAAGAGATTCAACCTTAAGCTTTTAGCATCCAGTATTGAAGCTCTGCAAGCGGCATCATAGAATACCCTTCTTAGCTGAGATTAAGCAGAGCCTATAGAACTGTAGGGTTAAATGCCAGTTAGATCATGTGAGTGGGGTGCGGGCTGTGAAAGGAGGGTGTCTCACTCCTGTCCTTTAAATTTAAGACTTATAACATGTTAACATATGTTAACACCAGATAGGATTTGCCTCTCAAAACTATTTTTCCCTCTACTTTACTGAAAATTATATTCACGATTGAAATGAGTGGAAAATAGGTCCCAGTTTTCAGGTGTGTGGTAAAGGATGTTCACACGTCTTACTAAAAACAAAACAAAAACATAACCATGAAAGTTTGAAAGACCTTATATTAAATAAAGGCAAGCAAGGTTACTTTACTGCAGGGATTCTCAAAACGATTAACATGCATACCCAGACTTTAAGGTGGGAGGGAAGGGAATACAGGCTTTCTCATTAATTGACTACAAATATCAAAGTAAGGTAAAATATAGATTAGTATCTAGCAACTACTCCTCATCCCCCTTCAGACAAAAAGCACTTTCTGCCTTCCTCGTGGCAATCAGTTTAAGTGTATTTGGAGACGGGAAAATGAGGTTATTGAGTGCAAGGATGTTTTAGACCGTTACAGCTTTGGCACTATTTCTTTTGTGGGGCCCATTTTATATCTTATCAAAATTTCAAAATGTAATGAAATGCCATACTAAATACAATGTTTTGCTTTAAAAATAATTTGAAAGCACTTTTAAAAGATCATTTTTCTGACAGAAACATGACAATAACAGATAAACAAAGTCAATACAACAAAAAACCTGAAAGATGATGAGCCTACTAGTATCTATCCTAAAGGGAATTGGCCATTAGTGGAAGCATTTAAAAAAAGAGCCAGGGAAAATAGATTGGCAGTGCACATTAGAATACATTTAGGGGAAAAGGTTTCCATCATGACGCTGTTGTACAATTCCAAGGCCATCATTTACATAGAACAGCCTGTAACTACTACTTGCTAAAATTGTGCTACATGACAGCACTGTCACACTTGATACAGAAACAGACCCTGTTAAGGAGGCAGGTGGATTTGTGGAAATGAGCACAGCCACCTGTCAAAACTGAAGGCCATGGAGCACTGC